GGTTTCAACCGCTGCTCGGTTTCATTTAATCGAAGCGTGACGTTTTTAACCGACTTCAAAAAAAGGAGGAGGTTCTCAATTCGATTGTATTTTTTTTTTTTTTATGTTTGTTACCTCAGAACTCCGTCGTTTGTTCGGATTTGCAAATTTTTTTTTATGATTGAAAAGGCTCCAAAAAGAATTAATAATTTTGAATATTTGCAAAATATTAATGACAAATAAGTTTACCTATAAATTAAATTTCTTTACAGCAGTTAAAATTTTGATTTTTTACTTTTTAGTGTAGGAACTTTTATTGCTTGACTTTTTTTGAAGGCGGTTTTTCTTTTGTAAACATTTTTTTTTTATTTGTATTGCCTAGAGCACCCCGGAATATTGTAGCTATCTATCAGTGAAAGAATTTTCGCAATCCGACCAGCGGTTACAAAGATTACCCCCTACATACAAACTTACAAATTAATATAGAGTATAGATTAAAACTCTTTACCGTTTTTATTTATGCATTTATTTCAAGCATCGAAGGCTTTCAAATTAACATGTCCAATCCCATATTTTATAAAATATTAAAACTTCAAAATATTCGGGTCTACTCTTGGGTTACTAAGATTCTTGTCTCTGTCCATCCGTCAGTCTGTCACAAGTTTTTCTTTAAAAAACATTGCCTCACACTATGACTTTCTCCTGCGTCGTAAGTGCGTTTACAAACATAGAATTTCACATACACATTACACACAGACATGGAACAACAATTTATGGATCACACAAAGAGTTGCTCCGTGCGGGAATCATACCCGCTACACGATCTCTTACCATCAGGTAATCTCGCTCGTTATTTAAAAAAAAAGTTATCACAAAAAAAACTATTCTTTCATACATCTAACTATATGTTCAAGACACACCTTCGGCAAGGGGTCAGCAGATATCTTAAGTAAGTGGTTATAAAAATAAGCGCCCCACAGAGCTGCAGTCAAGAGATAGTGGTTACAATAATACTTTCTTAAGAGTGAGGTACAGTCGAGTAAAAACTCCTTCAAATGCTTACATGAAAACTATTGGCTAGAATTCTGTGTTTTTTTTGTCGTCTGTCAAAATTGACGATTTTTTTTGTCGTAAATTTCGTAAATAATGTCAGGTTTTTGGATGTCGTGTTTTTTTTAATTTTCCGGCATAATAAGAATGTAATCTGTACCAAAAAAAACCGAATTCAAAAAGTGAAATAAAAAGCAAAAAATATTTTTTCTGTGTACAAATTATTAATACATGTTTTCATTTAGGTAAATAGAAAATAATATTACTTAATAACAATTTTTATTATCTCGAAATCGGTGCCAAGTAAATGCTACATACCAAACAACAACAGTATTAGAAACATGTATTGATCGGTACTTACTCTTTTTTTTGAAGTCGGTTAAAAAGAGGTAAAATTTGTAAGTTTGTATATAGGAGGTAATGGGTGGAACGATGTCGGATTTCCAAAACTCTTTGTGAAAACTTCGGCGCGCTGCATCCTGGGCAAAAAAGCAAATCCGGGGCGGGTCGCTAGTCCAAACTAATATTATAAACACGAAAGTAACTCTGTCTGTCTGTCTTTTTTTCACGCCTAAACTTCAGCACCGATTTCTGTGAAATTTGGTACAGATGTAGTTTAGAACTCGAGAAAGGACAGGATAGTAATAGAATTTTCCAAGCGTCTTCGAGTAATCGGTGTACATATATAAAAAAATACGCTTCGAATTGAGACGCTCCTTTTTTGAAGACGGTTAAAAAAATCTACACGAAGTAACAATTCCACACGAACAAAATTGCGGACAAAAGCTAAATAAAGTAAGAATATATCATAATATATCCAGTTGAAATGTTTATGTTTTAATATGCATAATATATTACATTATAATCATCATGTTGGTCTTTATATTATTTCTTATTTTCTTCTGCGACAGTCTTCTTTTTTCCCTGCCATCTTTATTGTGAGTTAACACTTTTGCAAAGAAGTGTACCGAAACACCCCGGCGGTCTGCTTGACCGGAGATAAGCCGGCCTATACAAACACCTACACCCCTTGTATCTTCAACCTTTCTTCCGACGAAGAGGGTCAGTTGAAGTGTTTAAAACGCACTCACTTTTAATCTTATAAAAATATTGAGTTGAGAACAATTTTTCATCATCATCATCATCATCATATCAGCCACAGGACGTCCACTGCTGAACATAGGCCTCCCCCATTGACTTCCAGATAGGCTGGTTGGAAGCGACCTGCATCCAGCGGCCTCCTGCGACCTTAATCAGGTCGTCTGTCCACCTTGCGGGTGGACGTCCTACGCTGCGCTTGCCGGTACGTGGCCTCCACTCGAGAACCTTTCTGCCCCAGCGGCCGTCGGTTCTGCGCGCTATGTGCCCTGCCCATTGCCACTTCAACTTACTAATCCGCTGGGCTATGTCGGAAACCTTTGTTCGTTTTCTAAACTACATATATAATTATATGTATAAGCGACTCGCGCCGGCTTGGCATGAGTGCAACGCTGATACTAAATTTCTCCACTATTTATTGGATGTTATTATACATATAAACTTTTCTCTTCAAACCGAATTAAAATCCGTTGCGTAGTTTTAAAGATTTAAGCGTACATAGGGATATAGGGACAGAGAAAGCGACTTTGTTTTATACTATGTAGTGATTATTGTTTAAATTTGGGAGAGTCATGCTTCAACACGAAAGGGCTGGCTCGAACGTAGTGATACTTCTACGGCCTTACAGAAATCGACGTGAAACAATATGGACATTGTGTTTATTTTAAAAGGCCGGCAATGCACTCTTTACTCTTCTGGTGTTGCGGAATGGGCGGGGCCGATTGCTTACCATCAGGTAATCCGTTTGCTAGTTTTTTTTATGTTATTATAGGTTATTATAATTTTTAGGCCAAATTTGTGTGATAGGTCAGCAAACGAGCAGACGGATTACCTGATGATTACCCACATAGACACCAGGAGGAGTTACGAGTGCGTTGCCGACCTTTTTGGAATTAGGGTTTTGGAGATTTAGGGATTGGGGCAGGAGAAGGATTGGGCCTCCGGTAACCTCACTCAAACGGCCGAGGTATCACTTCGATCGAAATTCGTTAGCGTTAATTACGGCCTAGCCTAAAGTATAGCGAAAGGGCTGAAAGACTTAGTCAGTAAGAGTTTTATACTCTCTCTCGCCCTACCCAGCGCCGGAGAAGTCATTTGATGATTTTCAACTCTGCAATGATATTATAAGTAAAAAGGTGTAGATATGTTACAAGCGCTCAGCAAGTGATACATTAAAATGTGGCTAACTAGCCACACTTTCATATTTGTCTCTTTTTCACTCGCGATTATTGAATCATGCCATCCCACTTTAACGTGTATCATACGATTTATTCTTGTGTGCATTAGTGTGCGGTTTTTGAAAATCGAATGTTGTTTATAAATGTAACCATTCTACACCATTTCACATATAATATCATTGCTTATAACCATTACAAAAATAATATAAAGAAAATAATCTTATCTTGGCTCCTATTTATATTATTTTCTACCGGATAACGTGACGTAATAAAATATTTTTGACGTCACATCACTACAGCAGGACACAGCAAATCTAGATAAATTAGCTATGATAAAACTTAAACTAATTACTTAATTAATAATCTAGCGTTTGAAAGATTGTTGCCATGTTTTTAAAAGGTCTTGTTGGAACAAATTTATTTTTTGTATGTATGTCATAGGTCGGCAAACGAGCAGACGGATTACCTGATGGTAAGCAATCAGCGCCGCCCATGAACGGTAACTCTCAATAACGGAGGACTTACGACTTTTGTGATCAAAAAATTGTTGTTCCGGGTCTGGGTGTGATGTGTATGTGAAATTATATGTTTGTAAACGCACCCACGGCCCACGACACAGGAGAAAATCCTAAGGTGAGGCAATGTTTTTTTTTTTAAATTGCATTTTCTCATAATATCATCTTTACTGCGTTAAGAATTAAAAAAAAGTGCTCTATGTTATGGCGAAGTTATAATCTTTTTTTTTATCTATTTATTTAAGTCAGGCATCTGAGGCCCATAGAGAATACAATACATAAATATATTATAACATTAAATCATAAACTAATACATATGTTACATAGATAACTTAAAAACTAATGCACACGAAGTGTCGGCGTCGTGTTACGCTGCGTGGTGTCGCGTTGCCATCCTCGGAACCTCCGATATACGACACCCTTCGAACAAAACTCTTCCTTCCTTGACAAATGTCTCGACGTAATGAGTTGGAACTCGCACCATGAACGAATTAAAGTTCATATCACATCATCATCATCAGCCTATCAGTGCCCACTGCTGAGCAAAGGCCTCTTCTCACACGGAAAAGGTTTGAGCTTACACCACGCTTGCTCAAGGCATATTGGCGATTTCAAACTTATAACAGTGGTGTCTATAAATACGACGCAGACGGATTATAATCATAGACGATAGAAGTCAAAACTTAAAGTCAAAATTCTTTATTTCAATTAGTCCCTCACAAACACACACACACACACAAATGTTAACGACATAAGTCAGTCTGTCTGTCAGTTCTCTTAGTGAAGCTATTTGCTCGTTCTAAAGTGTACAATTCCTATGGAGAAGAACGAGCAAGAAACTCCATGGTTACTCTTTTTAAATCAGTCCCACAATTCAATCCATTATGTGAGAACAGTGTAACACTAATATTTTATTCAGAGACAGATTTGTTTGACTTATCAGGTTTCGAACCCAAAGCCTCGTGCATGGAAGCGGACGCCTTAACCTCCGGGCCACATCGACCACGACGGATTATAACGATATCTGTATGAAATTATAATATCTTCGACATTTTTGTTTTGAGATAATAGGTAAATAATTTAATCTAAACAAAGTTTAATTAATTATCAATTACCTATACTAATTTTAGCACGCGGTTTCACATAAATCTTACTTTTATATAGACCCTTACCTTACTAAATGTGGGAGAGCCATGCTTCCGCACGAATGGGTCGGCTCGACCGGAGCGATACCGGAGTGAGGCCGTCCTCACAGAAAACCGGCGTGAAACAACCACAGCGTTGTGTTTCGCCGTGTGAGTGAGGTTAACGGAGGCCCAATACATCCACCTCTCTTATCCATTCCCAATCCTTAAATATCCGAAACCCTTATCCCTAAAACACCGACAACGCGCTTTTAACTCCTCTGAAATGGCGGGTGATCATGGGCGGCGCTGATTGCTTAACATCGTCATCAGCCTTCCAATGTTCACTGTTGGGACACATCCTCCTCTTTAGGAGAGGGCTTGGGCCATAATCCACCACGCGGGCCCAGTGCGGTTTGGTGGATGTCACATGTCTTCGAATTTTTGGTTCTAGGACATGCCGGTTTCCTCACGATGTTTTCCTTCACCGTTTTGAGAGCAGTGGTGATGAAATAAATTACACAAAGTAATGCGCCTGGCTGGGTTCGAACCTGCGACTTACAACTCGTAAATCACGGCCGTTACCACTCGGCCACCACTGCTCAACCTGATTGCTTACCATCAGGTAATCCGTCAGCTCGTTGACCGTGACGTATCGCGTAAATATGACCTAAAAAACATTAATATTATTGATCTTGATAATACATACCAATTATTATTTTGTATACGTATACACTAGCTACTATGACGCGGTTTCACCCGCTGTTCCATGTGATTCCATTTGATCGTAGCGTGATGTTTTATAGGCTATAGCACTCAAGAATATTGTAGCTCTTCTCTCTATCATCAGTGAAAGAATTTTGCTAATCCGACCAGCGGTTCCAATGATTACCCCCTACATACAAACTTACAAATTTTACCTCTTTATAATATTAGTATAGCGATAAGCGAATATAGACAGATTGATATAAATTGCGAAAATTCCCTAATTAATTTGACATTGCAAAATGGTGGCTCTAAGTGTACTAGTGGTTTCCGCTATAATCGCTGCTGTATCAGGTATGGCTTTTCCTTTATCATAGAAATGCAAAAGAGCAGACGGATTACCTGATGGTAAGCAATCAGCGCCGCCCATGGACACTGGTTACTACAAGTGCTTTGTCGTTCTCTTGTGGGTTTTTAGGGGATTTGGGGATAGGAGTCGGTGGATAACCTTGCGTACATGGCGAAACACAATGTGAGTGTTGCTTTTCGAAGGTTTTCTATAAGGTCGTGGTATCACTCCGGTCGAGCCGACCCATTCGTGCCGAAGCATGGCTCTCCCACACTTAAAGTTATCTTACAATCTTTAAGCCAAACAGTGTTTGGTCCTATAGACACTATGGGAGACCCAACCCATACCCTCAAATCCCAAAAGGTTAGCAACAAACTTGTAACTATATTAAATTTTTATTACTTATAACTTTCGTGAGACATCCTAATTAATTATAATGTTTTCGGCTTACTCACGTAACAATTTGACGAGATACTCGACTAGTTTCAAGCCATGCTAGAGGCCCATATTCATGAGCAGCATTCCGCGACATGCGACGGCGGCTGTCGCGCTGCTACAATCGAGTGTGTCGTCAAATTATTACGTGAGTAAGCCGAAAACATAATAATTAAACTTGTAACTATTGTTCTAATATCCATGGGCGGCGCCGTTTGCTTACCATCAGGTCATCCGTCTACTCGTTTGATACTTTACTGGGAAGACAGAGATTTACATATACAATGTCTTTGACTGTAAGGTTGGCACAGTGGCTGGGCAACTGGCGAGTTCCATTCCCGCACAGAACAACACTGTGTCATCCACAAGTTGTTGTAGGGTATCTTAGTGGCCCGAAGGTTTAGGCATCCACTTCTCATACATAAGAGTGCGGCTTCCAAACCTGGCAAGTACCAACATGACTTTTTCTAAGTCATATGTACTTCCTTACTGTAATTATACACCATTAGCTACCATTGTGCGGTATCACCCTCTGCTCAGCTCCATTTGATCGTAGCGTGATGTTTTATAGCCTATAGCACTCAGGAACATTGTAGTATCTATCAGTGAAAGAATTTTGGCAATCCGACCAGCGGTTCCAAAGATTATCCCCTACATACAAACTTACAAATTTTACCTCTTTATAATATTAGTATAGATTGACAAACGGTGATGGAAAACATCGTGAGGGAACCTGGACTTTCAATTTTCTCATTATAAGTTTGGAATCGCCAACCCGCCTTGAGCAAGCGTTGTAATTGATGCTCAAATCTTTTCCGTGTGACGAGAGGTCTTTGCTCAGCAGTGGACACTTATAGGGTGGTGATGTGTGTTCACCTTATTCCTGACTCTGATACCCTCAATTCTCAATTCGTCAACTCCCAAAAGACGGGTGACGCACTTACCACACATCATCAGCCTGTAAGTTTCGACTGCTTAGCAAAGGATGTGACACGGAAAAAGGTTTGAGCATTAACCACCACGCTTGCTCAAGGCGGATTGGCGATTTCAAACTTATAATAAAATTAGAAATTATAAGTCCGAGTTCCCTCACGATGTTTTCCTTCACCGTATGTCAGTGGCACCAAAATAAATTTAGAAAGTACATATGACTCGGAAAAAGTCACATTGGTATTAGCCAGGTTTCGAAAACGCACTCTCATGTGAAGCAGCCTCTTAACCTTCGAGACACCACGACGATGCCAGTCAACCTGGTAATCCAGTTATCTATAGACCTTGTCGATTGCTTACCATCAAGTAATCCTTGACGGATTATAAACTGGATAAGCCACAGATAATGAGTTCCTGACCCAACGTGCCAATATGTTTACGTTCGACAGATTAAAGCGATTAAAATCTGAAAACATACGCCACAAGGTCTTATCTCGTATATCAAAACACGTGCGGATATAGCAGATAAGGTGGAAATAATTTATGACGTTTTTTTTCTAAATATATTTTTGGTTTTACCGACATTGGGTAAATATTAATCCATTTGATAAAATCAAAATAATATTTGCTTTACACCACATATCTTCATCAGCCTATAAGTGCCCAGTGCTGAGCAAAAGGTCGGCAAACGAGTAGACGGATTACCTGATGGTAAGCAATCAGCGCCGCCCATGGACACCCGCAACAACAGAGCTACGAGTGCGTTGTTGACCTTTTCGAGATGATAGATTTGGGAGAGTTAGGGATTGGGGAGCGGAAATATTGGGCCTTCGGTTACCTCACTCAAACGACGCTGTGGTTTTTTCACGCCGGTTTTCTGTGAGGCCGTGGTATCACTCTGGTCGAGCCGACCCATTCGTGCCGAAGCATGGCTCTCCCACACTTAATGGAGAAGGTTTGAGCATTAATCACTACGCTTGCTCAAGGCGGATTGACGATTTCGAACTTATAAATTGGAATTATAGTTTAGGTCTTATAATAGGTCGCAGTCAAGGGTAGGGCACGTTGTTATAACAGTGGTAGAACCCCACTTTGAGGAAGGGTTTGAGGGACGCCACTGCGTCTTCACCTTTCGCCTGACGCAGATGCTTATCGCTGTGGTGGCCCGGAGGTTAAGGAGCCCGCTTCTCATGCATGAGGGTGACAAGTACCAATGTGACTTTTCCGAGTTATATGTACTTTCTATGATTATTTAGACACCCTGACATACGGTGAAGGTAAACATGGTGAGGAAACCTGGACTTATAATTTCTAATTATAAGTTTGAAATCGCCAACCCGTATTGAGCAAGCGTGGAGATCAATGCTCTAACCTTCTCCGTATGATAAGAGGCCTTTGCTCAGCAGTGGGCACTTATAGGCTGATGATGATGAGATGCTTACCGGGCACGGTTCCTGTTTCGGATCCGGCGGGAAGAAACGCCCAGGAGACTTCATTGTGAGGACCACCTGGTAGACACGGTGGAGCATACGGTGTGCTTGGACTGATCACCGCCATGTCCTCAGGGAAATGATTGGCGGCAGCGACCTTTAGTACACTCCACAATGCACTTATAACTTTTCTATTGTTTCGGCAGTCCAGAGACCACGCTTACCACAGTTTTTCCCTAATATCCACTCGAAAAAAAATTACATTCGATCCACCACCATTAACAAAATCACCAGACTTAAACCACCATCATCTTTTCCATACCCAGCGATACCAGCGGCAGTAGACCCGGTGATCACCAAATTGAACCCTGAAGGTCTTCGGTACGGATACATCAGGGATGATGAAGGTATTCCCCATCTTGTGGACTCCTGGATCAAGGCCAGTGACCTGAGGAATATGGCTAGATATAACCCTGATGTGGACAATGAATACCACCTTTATACCAGGTAAGAAATAATACCAAAGCAGATGGTGCAGATGGAATATCTGATGGTAAGCAATCAGCACCACCCATGGACACCCGCAACAACAGAGAAGTTACGAATGCGTCGATGACCTTATAAGGTTTAGGGATTTGGAGATTTTGGGATTAGGGAGAGATTAGTTGTTTTCACAGCATCATAAGTTCTTCTACCTCCAAAAGTAAAAAAAGAGTTTCTTTTTTTAAAAGCAGACGGATTACCTGATGGTAAGCAATCAGCGGCGCCATGGATTTGTGCAAAACCGGCCTTCTGCGGATTCAGATCTTGGAGATTCTGAGAAACCTCACTCACACGGCATTGAAAAGGGTGAGACTTTTTTTACTGTGAACCGTACCAAAGTATGGCTCTCCCACAGTTCATCATCAGCCAGAAGATGTCCACTGCTGCACTTACCCCACTCTATCGTTTTTGTCAGACGAACTTTTTATATCTTTTGTTATGGCTATATTTGTCGTAAGTGTGGGAGAGCCAAGCTTCGGCACGAATGGGTCGGCTCGATCGGAGTAATACCACGGCCTCACAGAATACCGACGTGAAACAACCCACAGCGTTGTGTTTCGCCGTGTGACTGAGGTTACCGGAGGCCCAATCCCTCCCCTTCCCCTATCCCTTCCCAATCCTTATATCCGCAACCCCATCCCCAAAACGCCGGCAACGCACTCGTAACTCCTTTGGTGTTGCGAGTGTCCTTGGGCAGCGCCGATTGCTTACCATCAGGTAATCTGTCAGCTCGTGTCCCGACTTATACCAATAAAAAAAGGCCCCTCTTAACTTCTTCAAGAAAGAACATCTGCTAATTGTCCGTGTATCCTCCAGGTCTAACCCACTTGTGAGCCAGCCTATCGTCCAAGGTAACACTGCTCTCCTCGCCGCCAGCAACTTTGACCCCAACAAGAGGACCATTATCCTCATCCACGGTTTCCTTGGCAACATCTTGAGTGGATTCAACACCGTTCTCGTCCCCGGTAAGATTTTATTTTTTAGTGGTTTCGCCACCTTCCAGTCTCCTACAGACCGTAGCGTGATGTTTTATAGCCTAATGCCTTCCTCGATAAATCATCTATTCATCAAAAAAACATTTCATTCAATTCGACCCAGTCGTTCCTGAGATAAGCGCGTTCAATTACAAACTCTTCAGCTTTATAGTATTAAAATATAATTATCATTTTGGGAATTTATAATTACCAGCGTGCGCTCCTTGAAGTCAAGAAGCTACTGCATTTCTTGCAATTCACATATTATATTCTAATAAACTTGAATACGTTTAAGATTAATTAATTTAATATTAAATATATTAATAATCAAATTGTAGCGACATCTATCGCACAACATAAACAACAGCACCAATCACGTGCAAGATTCTACATCGCGGTGTAAGAGTTCTCAACGCAATTAGAACCGATACAAAGTCCCGACAACAACCGTCGGGCAGTAGCCCACCAGACATAACACCCGTTTGGTCGGAGGATCCTCCCTTTTCAATGGAGGATGAGGAACTTTCCACCCTGTTCTCTCATATTTCTAAAAAATCATAAAAAGAAAATAAAAACGCCTGCCATTTTATAAATAGCACCTATTTCCAGTATTTGCAGACACACAAGTATTTGCAGGGCGTCTGAAGGCAGGCAAATGGAGCGGCAAAAAAAATACTCGCAACTTATGCCGTGGCGTTCCGCATGAATTTGGTTCAAGTGTGTCATTATTGTTTCCTGTTACAGCGTTCATCCTGGCTGGTGATGTCAATGTCATTGTAGTCGACTGGGGCAAGGGTGCTCACTTAGGATTCAACGGAATCAGTTCTGGTAAGCCAATAATATATATCTCATGTAGAAGAGTCAGGGCATGGAGCCACAGGTGCGAGATTACCTGTGGCTCCTCCCCCCCCCCCCCCCTTTCCGTCTCACCATCCCAAAACTCCCAATTCTTAAAACTGGCTACCGCACAACGTGTCGCGGTTTCGATTCCCGCACGAACCAACTCTTTGTGTGATCCACAAATTGTTGCTCCAGGTCTGGGTATGATGTGTGTGTGAGTAAACGCAGTCACGACGCAGGAGAAAATCCAAGGTGTAATCAGTTAGACTCTGACCCAAGACTAAGTAATGGTCATAAGATTATAATTTCTCCTCCAAAAAAATATTGCTAAATCATTTTTGCAAACGCTTTTAAAGATCTATGGAAAACACAGACTTTATTCGACGAAGATTTCAACTTCTTTACCTGGATTTCTTTTAATTTTTTAACTCATTAATCCTTATTTCACAGGACGCAGCGTCGGTCGCTTCATCAATTGGTTGAACCAGGCCTCCGGTGCCAATGTCGAGAACTACCACATCTTGGGCTACAGTGTAGGCGCTCATCAAGCTGGTATTGTTGGCAGAAGTCTCCTCGGCCGTCCAAGCTACTTGACCGGTAAGGAAACTACAGCATATAGCTGCCTAAAGTCTTTTTAGCAGAAGTATTTTAAAATCTACATCCATCATCCTTCTTATATTTGTTTGGGAGACTGTGTCCTTTCTTCGCACCAACCGCATGATTTCTCTGCACTACCCTATGGTTGAGTGTCAGAGAATGCCTTCAGGCATTAAGAAGATATAAGTAAACGAGATACTCTCACGTGTTTTCACCCGCTGCTCGGCTTCGTTTGATCGTAGCGTGGTGTTTTATATGGAACATTGTAGCTATCTATCAGTGAAAAATTTTTGGCAATCCGACCAGCGGTTCCAAAGATAATCCCCTACATACAAACATACAAACTTACAAATTTACCTCTTTATAATATTAGTAAAGATAAAATAAAAATCATCATCATCACTATACTTATGATTGTACGGTTGACGCGGTGGCTGGGCAACCGACTGAAGTACGCATCCACTCTATGTATGATCCACAAATTGTTGTTCAGGATCTGGATGTGATGTGTATGTGGAATTTTATGTTTTTAACCGCACCCTTGACACAAGAGAAAAATATAGTTAGAAGTACACACATCAGACTGTGATTATCATTAGGCCTTTGTCTCATATGGAGAAGGTATGAGCATGAATCACCACGCTTGCTCAAGGCGAATTGGCGATTTCAATGTATTTAAATCGCTTTACTGTTGTAGTATGAAATTATAAGTCCGGATTTCCTTCTGGTGTCTTCTGACACCGTATTTTTTGTAACCACTGCCCCTCACTAGGACTTTCAGCTGTGTCGTGGATGCGTTTACTAATAATTTACAAATCAACATACACAAGCCCGGAACAACAAATTGTGGATTACACACAGTGTTCTTCCGTGCGGGATCGAAACCGCGACACGTTACACAGCAGCCAGTTGCCAGCCACTGCGCCAACCATCCAGAGTATATCAGTCATGATTGGTAAATAATATGAAAAGTAAAAAGAATACATCACATCGATATTTGACAGATTTGTAAACTTCACTGTCATGCATGAGAGGTGGATAAAAATGAGCAAGAAACTTCAGTAAAGACTTACAGTATAATCGTTAAAGAAGAAAATCCTACTTTCTGTCTACCCAGAACCCCTAGCTTATTTTAACTTTCTTTATCTTTCTTATGCAGCCATGGATCCTGCGGACCGTTGGCTCTCCAGCCAAGCAGTTCGAGCTGATGATGCAGTCTACACCGAAATAATTCACACCAACATTGGTAACATCGGGCAGGAGGAACCCGCTGGTGATGTAGACTTTTATCCCAATGGAGGAATCAACATGCCTGGATGTTCTACTGCTGTCTGCGATCATTATAGGTAAGGATGTACCTAATTTGCCAAAAGAGCGTAGAAATTATCTGATGGTAAGCAATCGACGTCGCCCACGGTGGGTAAGGAAAAGAAGAAGTCAGACTCTTACTGACTAACCCCTCCTTTCCTGCTCTTGCTGTAAGCAAACACCGTTAACCTATTCAAAAATTGACAGAACCCTAGTTTTGGGAGGGGAAAATCATCACAGTATGTCTTCTCTCGCCCAGGGTCGAGGTCAAAGGCAGTTTCTGACTTTTGCTGACTAAAAACCCCCTGTTCCTTCTCCTGCTCTGGGCAGAAACTGCATATAAGATACCTTATTGCGCTAGCCTGGCTACTCCGGCTGAACATCAGCGCTATAGGGCCTCGTCTGTGGTGGTCTATTGACTCTTTGAAGCGCGCGCGGAACGCTACGCACCGTACGCACTGGTCTGGTGCCGGTCGGGCGGCGAGCGACCCTTACTCGCCGTCCGCAGACCCGCACTTACGGTTGTCGAAGATCGACTCTGGATCTCCGACGCCAGGAGTGCCGCCTACTGGGGTGGCTGGGGCGTGAGATGAGATGAGACAGATTTGACAACATTTTCATATTTCTAGATCCTATTTCTACATGGGTGAATCTCTGGCTACTGGTGGTTTCACTGGCATCCAATGTGCTTCAGTAGAGGAAGCTAAAGCTGGCAGCTGTTCTGGACCTGCTACTCTTCGGATGGGAGGACTGCAGCCTAAGACTGGGTGAGTAATTATTCTCCTACCCCCATCTCTTACCAATCCCTAAATGTAAGACAGAAAGTCGAAATAAGAAATCCCCAAAAGATCGGTAACTCCTCTGGTGTTGTGAATGTCGATGGATGGAGATGATTTGCTTACTATCAGGTAAACGGTATGCTCTATTGACAAATTAAGAATTTGAATAACCTGATGGTAAGCTATCAGCTCCATCCATGGATACCAAGGGGTTAAAACCACCGGATGCGGTACCATCCCTTTGGTGGTTAGTGATTTGAAAGTAAACGGGTTTGATAGTAGAGGACAGGGACGATGAAATACAAGGCAAGCGTTGTTTCACGTCAATTTCCCGTCAGACTGTAGTCTTATAACTCCAGTCCAGCCTGCCGGTCTGCTTTTTTACCGACTTATCCCATAAAAAAACACCAAGTTTATCACCATATCATTATATCACCATCACTATGTCCACAACGTTAGAGTTTAACAAGGTAACTCGATTAGTTTCAAGCCGCACGGGGTCTATAATCTCATAAATCAAATAGCCATAATACGACGCTCTCTGTGTCAGACATCGCGGCTTAAACAGCTGATGATTGTTAATGTAATTCTAATTTTCTTTCGATTTTTTCAGATCCAAGGGTATTTACTACGTACCTACAAACGGCTCCCCCCCATTCTCTCAAGGTTAAGAGAGACGCCATGACAGAAAAACAAACGAATTAATGTAATAGAAATAAAATCTCCTTATAAATAATTATACTCAGCTTTTTATTGAACACATTTAATTTTTTTTTAGCAATTGGGTAGTTTCCTAGGTCAAAAATAAATTAATTCGATGTTTCAATACAATAAAATATTGAAAAACAACTATACTTTTATTCATTGATCGATCGATACGCTAACACCCGGTTTCCGAAAGGCCGATCAATGTTAACATCAATTTAATCTCTTGTCAAGTCATCTGATTGGTTGACTGAATTATCAACAACCAATCAAATGACTTGACAAGAGATTTAACAGGAGATTAGTTAATTTTAGCGTTGACAAGCCTTTCAGAAACTGGGTGTAAGTTTTTTGGATTTTTTTAAGCTAATTATTAAGACATAAGTAAGCTATTTGACCCAAAAGTACTATGACGTCCTAACTCAGTTTTTCATACAAATTTCATAGAGAAGTATCGTTTTTGACATTTGGATAAAAGTATTGAATTTGACTAGTTGGAAACTACCGGCAGACTAATCATCGAAAGTCTTCTCTCGTCAAACGTGAGGGAGTGTCAGACTCTGACTGACTAAAACCACTCCGTTCAGTCTCCAGCTCTAGGCCGAGCCCGCGGTACCTAATTCACTTGTCCCGCAAATCTGACTGTTGAGACGCCGTCGGGAGAAATCATCGGCACCACAACCGCGGCCCAGAGCAGGAGCTGTGGATTAAGTGTGGGAGAGCCATGCTTCGGCACGAATGGGTCGGCTCGACGGGACTGATACGACTGCCTCACAGAAAACCGGCGTGAAACAACCACAGCGTTGTGTTTCGCCGTGTGAGTGAGGTTACCGGAGGCCCAATCTTTCCCCTACCCCAATCCGTAAATCTCAAAATCCCTACTTTCCAAAACTGTTGTTGTGGATGTCCATATGGACGGCGATCATTGCTTACCATCAGGTAATCCGTCTGCGGGTACCACATACAAAAAACATTTTTTGACGCAAAAGTAACTTATGACGTCACAATACAAAATTCATTTCAAAAAGTATTGAATATTACGTACGCAATGTTTCATAAGGAAAAGAAATCTTAGATGTATATCTCTCTCTTTCTTTTATATGGAAACCTAAGAGGAACGTAAGCCACGCCCTTTATCTTCTGTCTCTGTCTGAAATTTATTGAATATGGTTATAAAGCGTGGTGTCAGTGATAGCGGGTTGAGTAAGCGGATTGAAAATGTACTTGTAAAAGTCAAAAATCATTCATTTCAATTTAAAAGAAAAAATAAAGATATAAAATGTCAGTCTGTCGGTCATTCCTTTTAGTGAAGCTATTTGCTCGTTCCAAAGTGTAGATTCCGATGGAGAAGAACGAGCAAGAAACTCCATGGTTACTCTTTTTAAATCAGTTTCACGTACAGATACCTTGTACAAAAACTTGGTTCAATTATGTTGAAGAAATCTGTCAATTATTTTCAAATAATTTTCAACCTTTAGGTGTGGGTTAGCCATGTTCTGACACGAGCAGGCCGGTTCAACCGGAGTGATACCACGGTGTCACAAAAAACAGGCGTGAAACAACAAACAGGCGTTAGGTTGGCCACGTGGGAAAGGATAGGGCCTCCTGTAACCTCACTCACACGGGGAAACACAACGCTGTAGTCGTTTCACGCCAGTTGTCTCAGAGGCCGTGGTATCACTCTGGTGAAGCCAATATGAAACATGCCTCTCTTACATTTCATTAACTATACAAAAATAACAAATTATTTAATTTTCCGCTTCCGCTAAACGCCTTCACTAAAGACTAAACCTAGTTGGTCTGGCAATATAGATCTCAAAATGGAATCGCTATACCGAAATTGTTCCACACCTTGATACGTCTATGAATTTAAGCACTTGTTTATACGAGACTAGCTAATCTCGCGCGGTTTCACCCGATGCTCGTCTCCATTTAATCGTAGCGTGATGTTTTATAGCCTATAGCACTCAGGAACATTGTAGCTATCTATAAGTGAAAGAATTTTGTCAATCCGACCAGCGGTTCCAAAGATTACCCCCCTACATACAAACTTACAAATTTTACCTCTTTATAATATTAGTATAGACTCTGTATTATGCTTCAATCTTTAAAATTACGCAAATTATTTTGATGCGATTTTTTATTATTAGATAGAATGATTGAAGAGGTTGGTTTATATGTGTAATTCATAAAATTTGTAAGTTTGTATGTAGGGGGACATACAAACTTACAAATTTTACCTCTTTATAATATTAGTATAGATTCCCGAACCGATACGAACTTCAAACTTTCAAGTAACGAGCGTACACCTTCTTAAAAGGCCGGCAACGCGTCTGTTATTCCTCTGGTGCTTGTATCCATCGGCGGCGCCAATCGCATACCATCAGGTGATCGGTTTGCTCGTTTGCCTTGCATTCTATAAAACACGGGTTGCGGGTACGAAAGCTGGCAAGTACCAATATGACTTTTTCCGAGTTATATATGTACTTTCTATGATTATTTAGGTGAATGAAAACATCTTGAGGAAACCTGAACTTAAAAATTCTTATTATAGTTTTCAAATCGCGAATCCGCCTTGAGCGGGCGTGGTGATTAATGCTCGTTCTTCTCCGAGCAAGTTATTTTTAAACTATTTTATTACTTTTATTTTCTTTAAAAAATATACAGTGTACAGAGTAGAAACAGATATGAAAAACTGAAAATGTGATCGTGACATTTGCTGCATCAATAATGGTGCACATCAGGGATGTTAGAGAGCTCCGTAATGGTAACCGAAACTATTGGATATCCGAAATAAAAGAAATATCCGTTACCGTAACCGAATCCTAAATAAAAGTTTCGGATAAAATCGGATAGGGGCGGAGCCTAATTTTTATATTATTTTTTATTTATTTCTTCTTCATACAAAAAGTGTGAATGGCGGACTTAATGCCTTAAGGCATTCTCTAACAGTCAACCATAGGGCAGTGCAGAGAATTTTTGCGGTTGATGCGAAGCAAGGACACAGAGTCCTACAACAGGATGAAAGGGGAAAGAAAAAGGAAGAAACAAACACGATTCTTTACACATAAATAAATAGATATGCATAAAATAAGTTAACGAATACAATAAATAATACATGTTAAGTATGGATATATTGAAACATACATACTATAATATACAGATATACATATACATATATACATATATACATACATACATAATATTATCTAGATGGGAAAAACCATGTCGAGACTAGTTACCACATCTGTTTTGTGTCTGCCAATCTTTAAATAAATGCTCGTGGACTTTTAACTTGAACGAGTAGCGATTTGTGGCCATTCTGATTTCCTTCGGAAGCGCATTCCATAGAAGAACAGCTTGGATGAAGAAAGAAGAATGGAAGAAGTCAGTGCGATGGGTGAGACACTGAAGGTGTCGATTGTAAGAAGACCGAAGAAATTTTGAATGGTTTGCGCAAGTATATTGAAAGTAAGGGGCGAGATAGCTAGGCGAAGAAGGAGAATCAAGGTAAGAGAATAAAGTTGTAAGTGCCCTCTGTTGTCTGCGCAAACGTATTGGCAGCCACTTAAGTTGTATTAGTTTATTTCCACAAAGCGGCACGGATTGACTTCGAAGACGAACATGCAGGCGTCGAAGCGCTGATTTCGGCGCAGACACCATGGCTTGCCTGCGCCTAGTCTCTGCAAGCAAATCTTCGTGCAGCTAGTGTAAATAGTGTTGCAGGGGCAACAGCAACCGCCGGAGCAACCGTCACAAGGTCCGCAACACATTTCTATTGAGTGTAAAAAGTACGGTAAAGGCCTAAAAACCGGTCTAAAGGACCGGCAAAGTTGTGGAAAGGAAGTAGATTTCTAAATAGATTTTAGAAGGATAAAAGATTTTTTTTGGTACTTTTTATTATTGTGTGAATCACCCAAATGATTTTATTGTACTGAGACACGTTATGTTTGTATTTTAAAGTAAAATCCAAAATGCAAAAGTAACTGTGTCTGTCTGTCTTTTCATCACGCCGAAACTACTGAACCGATTTCTGAAAAATTTGGTGCAGACATAGTTTGAAACTCTAGGAAGGACACCGGATAGTTTTTATACCAAAAATCTGCAGGAAATCGCTATTCCATGCGGACGGAGTCGCGGACAAACGCTGGTTCCTTAATATTTTAATATCCTTAACCGAAATTATCAAAAAGTAACGGATAATCCGAAATTATTTCATTATCATGTTGTCAATTTTTCCATTTTTCTCTTTTATCAACTAGAAATGTCGTTTTATAAGACAATTCGTTGGAATCTCTTATAATATAAACCAAAATAATAAACGGGCTGTGTTGCTCTGAGATATCAAAGTTTTTATTTAAATTTTAACAATAAATAGGTACAAAATAATACTTAAACAAAATCCTACCGGAAATATCAAAGAAACGACATTTAAAGTTTATTAATTGGTCTGTCGAGTACTCTTTCACTGAATTACAAAATACACTTTATTTAAACCTCCTCTGCTTTATTCAGAATAATGACACTGACAATTATAATGTCAGTGGCGCCATCTATACATAACCTAGTTTAAACTTGAACTGTTTTATCTACACACAAATACCAGAAATTAAATTTCTATAAATCCGTAATCGTATCCAGTATAACAATCATTCCTAAATTCGTATCCGAAATTTCATATCCATAACATCCCTTAATGTGCACTTCATTTTCAATTGAAAACTGTACAAGCAAAACATTAAAGTGCTTAACATTCCAATGTACCCGCATTTATGACAAGATAAATCCACAGATCAAAGTTAAGAGACATCGTGTTCAAACGGATTATCTTCAGGACACCTTTGATCTCTGCCTAACCCTTTCTGTATTTGACAGGCTTGATAATATTTCCACACCACTATCCAACTTGGTCAAGCCATGTTTACAAGAATCCCCATCCTTAAATTCTCTAATCATTAAAATGCTGGCAACACTTTCGTAAATCGCGTTGTGAGTTTCTAGTGTACCCAAAGATAGCGCTG